AATGGCCTCCAACCTACTAGCGATGGCCTCCAGCCTACTAGCGATGGCCTCCAACTTACCGGCGATGGCCTCCAACCTCAGAGCGATGGCCTCCAACTTATAAGCGATGGCCTGCAACCTTTTTAATAGCAATGGAGTCCAACCTACTAGTGTTTGTTGAAATCTAATAATTTTCAGTGTGTCCAAATGTCATGTCGCACCTGCTCACTGGGATTGCACACACGCCGCTTGGCATTTAACGTGGTCAAACACGTTGCCACCTTGCTTTGATTTGCCGCAAGCAGTAGATTTTGACGTATTCAGCCTATAGTGGCCCCCAAATAGACAGAAACGGTTTCCAATACATCTTTAGTGGGGATCTACTTTTACCTATATTTTTGGGGTCTATACATAACACTCTTCATCATTTTTTAACGGTTTGGCAACCTTTGGCCCTTGGCATGCGGCTGCGGCCAAGACAAAGGTCATCAACTGTTGTGCCGCCAGGGCAGATGAGAAGGACACCTCGGCGCTTGATGCCTCTAGACCGTGGCGACCACTCTTGTTGCAAAGTAAAAGGAAACAAAAAAGAAGAGAAAACAAGCAAGCTACTAGCAACAAAGGGCATCGCTATTGGGAACAAGGACGTTACTAGGGGCTCCTGGCCATACTACTAGGAGCAAGAGGACGCTACTAGTAACAAAGGAAGGCAAGACGATGACCTCTACTGACTCATCCGAATTAAACCCCTCTAAAATTCCAAAGGTTCTTAATACCTTCAACCGGTTATCTGGGCCGCTGGTGTTGGACAGGTGAGAGGGGGTAGGAGCACGGTCAAAGCCAATCAAGCAAAAGGAACTCTTTTCCCCCACGTAAAGGCGCAAAAGTAACCGGTAGCAAACGAAAGCTCCTAGTAGCTTCCTTGCTCCTAGTAGCGAGGCCAGGAGCCCCTAGTAGCTTCTTGTTCCTACTAGCAAAAGGAACCTAATAGAAATGGCCTCCAACCTACTAGCAATGGCCTAAAGACCTAATTGCATGTGCGCGCCGCACTGGTAGTTGATTGTTTTGGGCTCCAATCAGACCGCCGTTGGAGGAGGAAAGCTTCGTAACAGGTGTCGCATCCTCACAACCAAAGAAGAATGTCAGTCGCGCATTGTGGGATTGTGAGTCTATTCGAGCCAAAGCAGAAGAAGAAGGAGGAGAAGAAGGAAAAAAGAAGAAGAACCGGGGGAGCTTCCTTGATCTATCCAGCGTCCAGTAGCTAGCAATAGCTAGCTAGTAGCTTAAGTCCCCCGGAACAAAAGATACGTTCTGGAAAAGCGATATTTTGAGCCCTTGACCTTGGAAACCCATATGGAACTATGGAGCTCTTTGTTGTCTGGAATCATACAATTCCTTTGGATGGACTTGCGGCTTGCTCTTTCTGATTGAACATTTCGAGACCTTGTCAGGTGGTGTCTTGATTTGTTGCTCAATGTGCTTTCTTCACCTTCCCGCAGCATTTCTCAGGGTCAGTGTGAGAATGCTTTTTAAGTCAAGATGTGTGGCATTTGGGCAAGCATTCCTGCAGATTCAAGATTACATGATGAATGCATGATAGATTATTCTGTGAGCTACATGTTGTCGCGATGCTCAAACCCCGCAAAAAACGCCACCGCTGCAATGGTTACAGCGCATGTTTCAGGAAACCAATCCTAAGAAGGCAGGGCCAAGAAGAGATCTGCCGCCTTACCGGGCATTGTTTCAAACGAATGTGATCTGGGCATGAGGCCGCTTTGCCTGCGTGCCTGGAGATAATTCGTCTTGCAATCAGAGTTCTGCTTGTGGAAAGCTTCTGGCAAAGCTTGGCGATGCCTGTGGCGGTGTGAGTGTTTGTGACGACCTCGACTTTTACGACATCGAAAGCAAATGCTGAAACGACGCAAAGGCTTCGACTTTGTGAAGTTGGAGGCCATCGCTAGTAGGTTCCATTGCTACTAGGAGCAAAGGGCATCGCTACTAGGAGCAAGGACGCTACGAACGGAGCTCCTGGCATCACTACTACGAGCAAGAAACTATTAGGTTGGAGGCCATCGCTATTAGTTTAACTGTTTAACTTAATAACGCGGATTCTTGCAAATCAAAGAACGACACTAAGGTATGCGCTCAAACCATGGTTTGCAACAAACGCTGGACTAGCTCAGGAATGTGCCCCTTTGGAAGTCTTGACATCACGGGGTGTATTGCGCCCGGGGTGCTTCGCGGTTCGACGCCTCGCAAAATGGAGAAGAGTGTTGAAAGCAAAGCAATCGTTGGAATCGGACGGATCAGGGAGGGGTCACCATCGCTTGGATTTGGGCCGCGACTTAATTTTGATGTTTTTCTTTGATTCTTTTTTGTTTTTTCGTGTTTCGTGGCAGGCGCAGGACTTTTATGGACCTTGAAGTGCAGATTTCGTGGCAGATGCAGGACTTTGTGGATGTGGAAGTGTAGAGTTGGTGGCAGGTGCAGGACTTTGTCGACCTTGAAGTGCAGATTTGGTGGCAGGTGTAATACTTTGTGGATGTTGAACTGCAGATAGACAGATAGAAAGATAAATGGATCGATCGATCGATCGCTCGATCGATCGATAGATAGAAGAGGCATTTTTGCTTGGTTAGAAAATTTTGCACTGGGGAGTGTCGGGGATGAAGTGCAGATTTCGTGGCGCGGAGGGGTTGGGGGGGGCGCAGCGAACCTTGCTTGCTTGCTTGTTTGGTTTCGTCTCTGCAAAGCAAACAAAAGGAAAAGCAAAAGCAAAAAGAGAAAGGAGAACAGCTGCGAAAAAGAAAGAAAGAAAGAAAGAAAAACAGAAAGAAAGAACGAAAGAAAGAAAGAAAGAAAGAAAGAAAAAACAGAGAAACAGCAAAGAAACAGCAAAGAGAAAGAGAACTAGCGCAGGAGGCATGTTTGCTTGGTTAGAAACTTTTGCGCTCGGGAATTCCCCTTAAAATATTGATTTCGTGGCAAGCGCGGTGTCGGAGATGAAGTGCAGATTTCGTTGCGCCGGGGGGGTTGGGGAGGGGCGCAGCGCCCCCCCAGCAGCACACCAGATCCAAAGGTATGCAGCTCGTGCTTGCTTGCTTGCTTCCTTGCTTGCTTGCTTCCTTGTTTGGTTTCGTCTCTGCAACGCAAACAACAGGAAAAGCAAATGCAAAAAGACAAAGGAGAACAGCTGCCAAAAGGAAAGAAAGAAAGACAGACAGACAGAAAGAAAGATAGGTAGATAGATAGATATAGACAGATAGATGGATAGGCCAAGAAACCAAAAGCCACAAAAGCAACGAAAGCCAAAAGCCACAGAAGCCACGAAAGCCAAAAGCCACGGAAGCCACAGAAGCCATGAAAGCGAAAAGCCACAAAAGCCAGAAGCCACGAAAAACAAAAAAACGCCAAAAAAGAACAGAAAAACTTCCAAAATTAAATGGCTCTCCTTTGAATGTTTGCCAAGCTTTACTGGAGGCGGGCGCTGGACAATACAGGCCAAGTGCAAGTGCTTTTGGTTTGGCGCTTCCGGCTAGGCGCTTGAGGGAGCTCGCAGCTTTTGGCTGGAGACCAGCTGAACAATTAAAAACAGCAAGGTCCATAGCTTTCTGCGTGGGTAGTGCCAGAGGCAACTTCGTATGTGAGAGAAACAGTGTGTTTGCAAGTAACATGTTAGCTACTTTTCGCTATTGGGTTGCAAAATTGGCTTCCAAACCACCTTATCAGTCGCATTGAGCCCCAGGCAAGGAAAACGGCGAAGGCTGCCAGCCTCTGGTCAACCTGAAGGCGCTGTCAGGTTCCGAACGGTCTGGGAGGACCACCGGAGGCTGGAATAGAAGTATTCCAATAAACTGTCTAACTGTCCTTTTGCTATCATCAAAAGAACAACATTCAGGATCGTTTTCTTGATGATCTATCATCCGCACCGTCATTATCAACATCATCGTAAACACTATCAGCGCCATCACCATCATCACTGTCATTGCCATCGCCAACCGCAGCACTGTCATCTCCATCAGCATCACTGTCATTGTTGTCATCATCATCATCATCACCGTTTTCACCATGAGAAGTTGCGCAGACGCAGGTGGTTGATATGATCGTCAAGGGTCATCATCTTCAAGTGTACAGATGCAAGGGCAACACCGGGCATATCATAACACCATAAATACGTGTTTTTTTGATACAAGTATTGAAACACAGGTGTGGGGGTACGCTCACGAAACCCGACTCTGCGGGAACGTCGAAACGGCGGCGGAGGTTGCCAAATGTGTGTGTAACCGTCGTCGAACACAAAGGTGGAGGTTGCCAGTGTGTAACTGTCGTTGAAACGAATTTCGAGGTTGCCAGAGCGTGTAACTGTCGCTGAAAATTTGAAGGTGGAGGTTGCTTAAGTGTGTAACTGTTGTCGACATGGTCGTAGAAATTTAGTGCAGCTTCTGGGACCTTCGGCTTGAGAACTGGGCACTTGTAAGTACAAGTTATATATACCACGGGCAGCAGCGTCTGGGAGCTGTGGGTGCAAAGGCGCGCAGGAAGAAAAGTCTACAAGATGTGGCCTTAGAACTGGCAACTTTGTAGCGCAAATGTAGTGTGGGATGTGTTTAAACTACGTCTGTGACATCGCTGTGGCGCGCGGTTTTGCGTGGCTGCGGTGGGTTTTTGCGCAGCCTCGGTGGAAAGCGCGTTTGTGTGAGTTCGTGTCATTGGGGGAAGGAAAGCACGCGTGGTGCAAATTCGGCTGGGGAGCGGCGGAGCGGGATGATTGGCAGTGTCGACGAGGCTTAGCATTAGCCGTTGTGATCCTCGTCCCTATTATCACCACCACTACCATCATCATTATCAACATCATCTTCAACCCTAGCTCATCCTCATCGTTACCTTCTGTCATCTCCTGCTGTGCTTTCGGGCTATCTTTGGTCTTGGCTCGTTTCGCTCAACGAGGGCCAGCCTGGACCAAAATCGAGAACATGCCACACGCCGCGCCAATGCCAGTGGCCCATCCCATCTGCAAGCGCACTGCAAGCACCAAGAACATTGAAAAAACAAGTTTACAAAAATTCTACCAGCGTAGACCCCGAGCAGCTTAGTTTTCACGACTTGTTGCGGGCGCCGCAGCCCTCAGCCCCTGCCTTGGAAAGCAACGTACACAGCGCGACCGCAGCAGGACAACAGACATGAGGACGACAGGACTGGAAAAATGGCGACAAGCGAAGAAGAGAACCCTGCAAGAAGAGGACAACAGCAGGACAAGGAAGACCACACGAGACTTGCGTGTGCGCAATAGTTTCCCGCGTTGGGCCCTTTGATTGCGCTGAAGAGGAATAGACAGCTGACGCAAAACAAACAGGAGGGCAAGGTGTGGCTGGCAGCCGTGGCCAAGCTACGCACCAGAAGAAGGAGAAGAGGACAACAACAGGAGGATTCATCAGCGCGGTCACAGACGGTGGGCAGCTTCTTCCTTCCTAAGAGAGAACCCAACATAAACTGGTTGGGGGCGGGCCCGGAATTTGGACAGTGTGACACGTGTGCTCAACACTCCGGTGAGAAACAATTGAGGCAAGGTCTCGTGTGACACCCATGGATGCTGGACACTAGGACATATTTTCTTTTACATTCTTGCGTCGCACCCGAAGACTTGCGGAGAAAAGTTTCGCGCAAAACTCAGATTGGGGACGCGATGCCCTGTGCTTGCGAGAGCCGGACACTTCCATATAGGGACTCAGTGCGGACATTCGCCAACGATTCGGGGCTGTTTTTGTTTTCAAGAAAAAAATGCACCCCGCAACCTAACACGAGAGCTCACCCTTGCGTGTTGAAAGGGAACGCAACAACTTCTGCTTTGCGGCTGCAACTTTCGGAAGGCTTGACTTTAGGGGGGGTTTGTGTTGCGTCCAAGTCTTTCCTAGCTTGCGGCGAAAAATCCCGCGGCAAAAGGATTTGTAGCTCAACACAAGAAGCTGTAATAAACCCGTTCCGCATCAGCTTTATCTTGCGTTGATTCTGATGCAATGTGACTTTCTTCCGATAAATGTGGGCAAGTGCCGGGTTCTGGCTTCAACGTGATCTTCAAAACAGGCTTTTGTTGCAAAGAAATGCTAAATGAGAAGTGCGTGCGGAACCAAGCAGTGCTTACTTAAACACACAAAACATCTGAAACATAAGTGAAATTCATGAAACACATTCGATCACGTCGGCGCACGTGGGGTTGCATAGATCCACCCAACGTGAACAAAAGCAGCGGGATCGACACCTCGGTGGCTCAAATAGCTGTTTGTTCCTAGCAGTAAGGCCAGGAGCTACTAGTGGCGTCCTTGCTCCTAGCAGCGATGCCCTTTGAACCTTTCCTCCTAGTAGCGTTCTTGTTCCTAGTAGTAAGTATGGCCAGGGGCTAGTAGTAGCGTCTTCTGCCCAAAATGATTTCTCGTAAAGAAAAGGTTGCAAACAAGGATGCGCCTGCAAACGGGAGAGGCAAAGTAGTGGCACAAGCCGTGAGTGATGGGCTGAATGCCGCCACAAGTGGGGAAAAGGAGGCTAGCGGCTAGACATGGATCTGGGCACAGCGTGAGATGCAAGCAATTGCCATGACGTTTCACACCTGCAGCGCTGCGTGTCCGCTGTACTTTTCACAAAGCTGTGCTGCGCACTGATCTTAAAAAGGCACATGAGCATGTTTTTTCCGGCCCAGAAAGCCGGAAGCCGCTGGGCCAATGGCGACTGGCTTGAGGGCCTGCCAGAATTCCGGGCAGTTGAGTCGCATTGTCTTGCAGGAGGAAGGGCGTCGCTACTAGGAGCAAGGACGCTCCTATCTTGCAGGCCACTGTGTCCTGCGCATACGGTGCCTGTCATCACTGAGCACATCTAGCGTGCCAACGACTCCTTGGGCTGGTGAGTTTTGTCATGACCGGTTGGTGAATGTTTGCAGTGCAAGTATCCTTTGACTGGTGGCAGCTTTGCGAAATCTTAGCCTTGCAGATTTGACTCCTGGATGCTCCAAAGGTGAATTGAATGTCGAGGATGATTAGAAAGGGATGGGTCGATGGACCAAACCGAAAAAAGAGCAGTCCTTCAAACTCAAGTCCAGTGAAAGCGCTCCCGAAGGCATCATTGTGAGAAGTTCTCGATTGCGAAGAGGGCCATCAACAAAGCTCTCCACCCATTGATCGAACTCATCTCTGTCAGGAAGATGCTTTGGGGCGGCTATTGCCAATGCGTCTTGACCCAGCTGAGGCAAGCTAATTCAAGTATCAACTATTCGCTACCAACCGCGAAGTTGCAGCACCTACACATTTCTGAAATCCACAGCCGAAGAGTCGGTGACTTCTGATCCATCGCGGAGAGGTCGCGACCGGCGTCCAACTGAAAAGCTTGCTTTCATCATTTGCTAGTAGGTTGCAGTCCTCTCTTGATGGCTTCTACCAAGCAAAAGAGCCAGCGTTGCCGTCTGATTCTGATTCTTCAAGCTGTCCCCAAATGTCCGACTGGCCACCAAGTAAGTTGTCCAAGCTCACCTCTTTTTTTTTCAACCTTTTAAGGCGACAGAGCCGGCTGATCTGGTGCTCCAAGAATATGTTCACGGTCGGCCCTGATGAAAACTCATCAAGCCCTGCGACACATTCACCAAAATGTGGCTTTTGCCGGTCGTCAGAAACTTGTAGGGAAGCCGATGGCGAAGCATTGAAGGGAGCTGAGCGTGCGCGGCATCAAGCGTAGCCCAGAACTTGCGCGCTTCCTAGTAGCGTCCTTGCTCCTAGTAGCGATGCCCTTTGCTCTTGTTCCTAGTAGTAAGACGAAGCGTCGCTTTCTTTTCCTCTTTCCCCTTCGCTCGGACGTCATCTTGGACGGTCCTAAGGACGGTCGCCACAGGACGTCTGGCGGCACTTTTGGCTGCCCCTTTTGCTATCCTTGCTAGTGAGGCCAGGAGCCACTAGTAGCGTCCTTGCTACTAGTAGTAATGCCTGTTCCTAGTAGCTTTCCTTGTTAGATGCCCTTGTTACTAGTAGCTTCTAGCTGCTTGAAAGGTCTAAGCAAATGGCTAGCTTTGCCCTCGTTGACCGGCAACTGTCAGGGACGACCATCAAGGGTCAAGGGTGTCTGACTTGAAGACCTCGTAGCCCTCATCTTCCCAGCCCAGCCTCCACCATCAGCATCATCGCCCCAAACGATTGCACTTGTGAGGTCGGGGAAGCCCATCTGAACGATCACGGGATGGCAATCTCAGTATCACGCAGATCACGAAATCGGCCCGTGAGCACCTTCAGCCTCTGGCTGACCCGCTGGTGCCAAAAAAAAGGTCCAGTGTCCAGGACTGGTCACTTACAGGCCTTCTACTAGTAGCAAGGGCATTACTACTGGTAGCTAGAAGCTACTAGTAACAAGGGCATCGCTACGACTAACAAGGAAAGCTACTAGGAACAAGCGTTACTACTAGTAATGCCCTTGCTTTGCTACTCGTAGCTTCTTGCGACTAGTAGTAGTTCTAGGCCTTGTCATTTTTTCCTTCTTATTTGTGAAGAACTTATTTGTTACACTCGGTCATGGCGGCGCAAAGTGGCTTCAAGCGCACCTTGCTCCACTCGATGGTGGCGATCGTCTTATGACCTGTCTCTACTCAAGTCTCTTCCACCGTGTCCTGGCCTGTTCAAGAAGTCGGCGGAGAGCGAAGCCAGGCAGGTTGAGGCTCACAAATAGGCCTGTGGAATTAGAGATTACCTGGCCCCAGTGAATGTCTCCAGTTGCGACTAAGTTTGCTGACGCCCATCAGCAAAAATCAGGTTGAAAAAGGCCAGATCACAGGCTGCGGTTTGGCACTGGGAGCTGCGAGCAGCTGTGCAACTGGAGGTAGCAAGTGCGAGGTGAGCGGAAACGAAATGGCACCAATCATCTGCCGAATGATTTGCCCCCCAATGGGGTTTAGGAGAAAACCTTCCCTCGGCTTCAACCAGCCAAAGTGAGAGATCGCTGGTACTCTAGTGCGCTGCTTCTCCGGCCGGGCCCAGGCAGAAGTCCACACTTCCCGAGCCTCCCGGCGCAGGAGTGCTAGCAGGGCGCGGGCAAGGTGTGTGCTGCGGTGAGGAACTCGATGGTGTAGCACCTGTTCCACGTGAAGCCCCTGCCGGCGAGCCGCGCCAAAAAAAACACACGTCCCAGCAAAGTGAGCTGGCAAGGGGCTCAATGATGCAGATCTTTACCAAGAGGTCACCTGGTAGAACCTTCGAAGAAACCTCGGACATCAAGTGGTGGTCAGCAGCCTCAGGGCTAAGATGGCGAAACAAGTTTCTTCAGAAGCCCCGCCCATCGCTGGGCTCCGCTACCACTGTTGAGTGGCCCAAGCCACGATGCTTTTCCTCGCCATGAATGCATGAGCTTCAAGCAAATGGCGTTGCTCACACAAGTTCGGCTAACTTCTACCACACACACGATCCACTAGCGCACTAAGCGCCAAGCATTTGTCCAGCTAGGCAGGTGAATCTAAAAATTACTGGATCAATGGACAATTCCAGAAAGCAAACTCAGGGTTGCTGTCAGGGCCTGGCTTCGGAATGCAGGACCGAAAAAGAAGGCAAGAAATGAGGACAGTCGATTTACAAAGTTGGATCAGGAACGACTAACCGACTAGCTTTGCCGGCTATCCAGCTGCCGCTGTGGCTGCAACTGGGGCGCTAATAGCACACATGTCACAGTTATGGCAGAAATCGACGCCTTGTTGTTTGTAGGCTCAAGGCTGGCGAAATTTCCCAAACACATGATACACATGCCATATATGAATCTCTCAAACCTGATCATCCTGGCAAAGAACAACTTCTGAAATTTCACTTGAATGGACACCTATCAAAATCTGAATCTAAAATGCATCGCATCTGAACTTGTGCTGTGCATACTCTAAACAAAACAACTTGCATGAAACCCTGAAGGGATTGAGGCTGTCACCACCCAAGCAAAGCCTCTGACGCACAAAACGCTTGCAGCCAACTCAACGCTTTCTCAAGACAACTTCAGAACTACTTCAAAACTACCGAAACAATCAAAAGTGAACGGTTTTCGATTTATCGACCCAACGGAACGAGTCTGACTGCATCGATGGCAGGATTCAACACTTCTAAATGTGGCGCCTGACGCGACCCACAGTAGCGCACACCTGGTCCCAAACACCGGTGGCGAAGAAGCAAAACTAATAGCGTCCTTGCTCCTAGTAGCGATGCACTTGTTACTAGTAGTAAGG